AACAAGAACAAAAGCATGGTAGGACTTCAGAGTAAGATATTAAATCAGCACTGGCTATATAATGTCTTGTTTCTTTCTAGCTGTACTTTCCAGGGATTTTTATAGAGCAAATCCATGAGGTGAAAAGGGCCCAAGGTGGGGAAAAGCGGGAAATCACAAGGTAGGCATGAGGTGGGGTGAAAGGTAGTCAACCAATAAGATTGCAAGTATGATTGCTCACGTAAAACTGATTAAATTGGGAGCAAATGAGGAAGCAAGTATCATAGCAAGCAGGCATGAATACAGAACAGGGGCTCTTCCTGTAGGGGGTTAGGTTTGTGGCTCTTCTTGGCTTCTTCAACGTGATTAATACCTATTTAAATCATCCTTAGGAAGAATGTGAGTGCTTTCATTTCATCTTTTGTCTTGAGGTCTGGCCCTCAGCTGAAGTGTCTGTCTCTCCCCCAGTTGCAATGGCTCCTTTGAGGGCCTAGCCCTATCTCACTGCCTATAACATTTTTATCTCATTTAGCTGCCTATAACATCAAGACAGCGCCAAATAATTCCCAAGGCCGGGTGTATATACTTCCCACTAGATGTAGACAGCATGTAAAGACACAGATGCTAGGAGTGTTCTGTCATGTCCTTTTCACAGTATCACACCTTGTGTCTCCTAGACCCAGGGTGTACTTTTAGTTTTTGCTTTTTATCTTCTTCTGTCTTTTGTTTGGTCCAAGTTTGCTCTGCAGAGCCAGTTTCTCCCTCACTCTTTACTTTTCAAATAGACTTTGGCATTGTTCTTGACCTGGCTTCTTTGATTCTTTGAGGTGAAAAAAACCTGGAATATGTTTAATTGGCAAGCCATTTCTAGAGAAACAAGCCAATAACGAACTGCTGAGGAGAGAGAGGTCAATTACTCTGATTTAATCATTACATATCGTGCATTTGTACTGAAATGTCACATCGTACTCCATTACTGTATACAAGTACTATGTGTTGATTAAAATGAAAATATATTGAACAAGAAAGAAATGTTCCTGAAGTGGGGAAGTTTTCAACAAACTAGGGAATCACAGAGCAGCCTGTAAACCCTCTTTGCCCACTTTACAGGTCCACTGGACACTTGTGTTCCTGTTACAAGGTCATGTTTGCCCTGCAGTTCATGACTTCTGTGAGGATGTGTATATCTGCTCTGAGTCAGCAGGAGTGACCTCGCTTTTGATAATCACATTTCTTATCTTTCAGTCTGGGGCATTAGAGTTTCTTTTCTCGACTGATGCTTCTGCTACTTGTAAAGTCACTGTTGCCAGAGGGGCTCCTAGGCCCGAGGGCTGCAAGGTGCCCATCTGCTGACCACACCCAGACCTCTGCAGGCAAGGATAACTGATCCCAGCTCTCTGAGACCCAGGCTGACCAACTCCAGCCCTCTGCAGCTGTCTGGGCACCAGGTCTCCTCAGAGGTGGGGACTGCATATTAGCTTCTTAACCTTGAAACCAGGAACATTCTGACTTCAGGATGAAGTCCAAGGGGCCCTTCGGAATTTGATTTCAAAAGCTTAAAAACAAACAAACCATAGTGTCTCTCATACACACACACACACACACACACACACACACACACACACACACATCGATTATATTATAAAGCAGTTGCCAAAGTCATTTGTGATGTGTACTTCACTAATGTAAATTTTTGACAATTGTATTGTGATACAAAACAGGTGATTTTTCTTGATGATAAAGCTGTAGATATAGGCGTGCACTAGATCCCAGGTCTCCGGAGGATGAAGCAGGAGGATTATTGTGAGTTTGAGGCCAGTCTGGGCTACAGTGAGTTTAAGACCAACTTGGATAACATGGCAAGAAAAAAAAAGCTATAGGTAGTAGTAATTCTGTTTTAGCTGTGGATTTGTAGGAAAGATGGAGCTCGATAGGAAGAAAAAGACAGGATGAAGGTCTCATTGAGCTTTCTTAAGCCCAGTAGAAAAACTTAATCAAAGCAGTTTGTACCTCTGCAGTGGGAGCAATTAGAAAGATAAAGAAGAGGCTGGGGATTTAGCTCAGTGGCATAAGCGCCTGCCTTGCAAGCGTGTGGTCATGAGTTCAATCCCTGGTACCGGTAAAAATACAAAAAAAAAAAAAGAGTAAAAAAAAAAAAAAGAAAGATAAAGAAGATGGGGGAGCTAGAATGAAAAAGGTGTCAGGTAATACAACTACCATAAGAATCTATCAAAAAGACTTAACGCTGAGGAAGCCTGAAACATAAAATACCAGGAAAGCCAGCTTCCCTCACTCACCAGATACAGCGCAAGGGTGATAAGGGGCAGCCACCTAGGGTGTTTGTTTGTTTGAGACAAGGTCTGTGTAGTTCAGGTTGGCCTTGAACTCACTCAGTAGCCCAGGCTGGCACTGAACTCTCAGTGATTCTCGTGCCTGAGTCCCCTGAATGCTGGATTACAGGCAAGTGCCACCACACCCAGGAGAAACTCTTAATATATAAACATGCACGCACACACACCTACACATATACACACGTATGTATGTTCTCACTTTAACATCACTCTCTTCCTGAATCAGGCACAGTAAATTCCATACCATGTTATCTCTACCCAAATCTGGTGGATTCTGCTGCTTGCTTCTTATATATGTTATGCCCACCTTCAAATAAATCTTCTTTTATTTTATTTATTTATTTTTCCTTTTTGACTTTTTGAGGCAGGGCCTTAATGCAGATCAGGATGGCCTTGAACTCACTTGGTAGCCCAAGCTGGCCTCAAACTCGAAGCGATCCTCCTGCCTCATTTTCCCTGGAGTGCTGTGATTATAGATGTGTTGTACCACGTCCAGGGACTCTTCCTTGTTTAAGAAATGATAATTCCTTATAGACAGATGGGGAGAAAACACCCGACATCCCTTGTCAGGGTGCTCCTTCATTCAGGAACTGCTGCTTATACACCAAGTGTCAGGGGACAAACTGGGCTGGAGGATGGGAGAAAAAAATAAATCAGAGCTCGGCCCACCAGTTAACTCAATGAGATATAGGCGTTAAAACAGTGCTGGCTGCACACTACATCCCGTATTCAGGAAGGGAAATTAAATAGACGTCAAAGTAAGGAGAAAGGGAGGCTTTGGGGAGGAGGACAGGGACTTAAGGGTTTGTTCCTCTGTATTCACTGAACAGGTCTAGACTGAGTATGTGCCAGGACTGGCAGGCAGGTTCCCCAGAGAGGAAACATTGAGCTGTGAGCGAAGAAGAAAAGCCTCCTACATGAAAAAGGCAAAAGTGAAAGATTAAGGATTTGAGTATGTGATTTTTAAACCATTCAGCCATGGAAGAAAAGAGCCAAAGGGGACTTCACACTAAGGATTTAGTTTTAAGTCAGGGATGGTGACTCGTGCTTGCAAACCCAGTACTTGGAGGCTGAGGAAGGAGGGTCACTGCACTTTCAAGTAAGCCTGGACTACAGGATGAGTTCAAAGGCAACCTGAACTATATTAGTGAGACCCTGTCTCAAGAAAACCAAAACAAAGAAAAGATTTAGTTCTGAACTTGACTTTAAGGGAAGAAATTTTAGGGAGTCAACAGACTAAAGTAAACAGTGAAAAGGCCGTCTGTGTCATGTGGGAAAAATACAGCAAAACCTTTTATAGAGTTTGGACAAGGGATGGTCAAGTGGGAAGATCAGGCAGGGGACCTCAGATAAGGAGATCTAAAACATGAGTGGTCAAAGTTTTCAGAATGTCCAGTACAAATTGATGTCCTGGTACTGGGAAGATTCTGTGTTCTGTCTTCTCTTCTTTATGACATCCTGTGTTTGCCAGAGGCAGCCCTCCTGCTGGGGCAGAATAATGTGGCAACTGAAAAATCAGGCTAGGTGCTGGGAAAGCCATGCCAGAGTGGAGCCTGACACCTCTCTCTTTCAAGATGTTTGTTATGTAATCGTCTTTGACAAATATAATCTAGAACAAAGAGAAATCAGTTCCTCCATAACTAGAGAGGAAAATGTGAGGCCAGGGCAAAATGGTCTTTCAGCAATGGATTATCTGTTTAGTAGCTGAGTTTTAGATGTTTCAAGATGGCCAAGCTGAGGGGGAAAAATGAACATACACGTTTAGAAATTAGGAGATTGGTGAAGAATGAACATACAATATTTGTTAATTTAATTGTCCTTTAATGTTTGTCTGTTACATAAATTGTATTCTGAAATGGGACTAATAATATTATATGCTATGCAGACTTTGATCTATTCAAGAACTAACAAAATGTTTCCCTCTATTTCTCGCTTAGGCAAATAGCACAAGCCTTCTACAAGCTGGACCAAACTAATACTTTCAAAAAAGTCAGTTGTTGTACTCAAGATTTTCCAAAAAAAGAATTTAATACAGGACACATAACTTATAGAATTATTTTATAATAGTCACCCAAAGAGTCAAACACAAGAAAGTACAGGAAATCTCTCCACACACTAAAGACCCAAGGAATGCAGCCAAGGGCCTGGATCCCATGGTAATATCCTGATAGTCCAGCTTAGAGCCCATGATAATGCCCCTCACTAGTCCAACTAGAGGCCTAGAACCCTTGACAATGACTCATGCCAGTCTATTTCACAGGTCTCTGCTGGGAAGGCTCAAAGATCAGCGGTGGAAGCTACAAAGTCTGTGCTAGCCAAATGAAGGATCAGTGCCAGTAGGCTGAGGAATCTGCACTGGAGCCAGAAAGCAACCCTCAAAGTAAGAACCAGAGCTCCTCTGAAAAATACCACAGCCATCCTCAGTGACGATGAGGTCCTGAACTCCTCTGCTGATGGGAACAGGGGAGTTCATATCAAGAAAAAAGCTTGACAAGCTCCTCCAGGATAACCAAAAGCAACAGGAGAACCAACAAAACAACACTACTTCTTCCTCTACAGTCCTTCTGTGCTGTTGGCAACAATCCTCAGGTGGGCCATCCATACTCAGCATCAAGCTGATTCATTTTGGCTGGGTGTTACAAATTACCAGTTGTCAAGCCACCATATCAGTGGAATACATGATGATCTCACCTCAGCTTGAACCCTCTCCCTGTTTACTGGATGATGAGCAAAGATCTAATGTTCTAGTGTTCCCCAAGAATTGTATGAGTTGACATCTGGCAATAGGGTTAAAAGAAACATCTTTATTGCAGGAAGCTAGATGAATACTCATTGAAGATTTAACCTTGTCAATTTTTAATAAATTTCTGCAGTCAAAACAAAACAGGAATAATATAAAAAACAAAAAACAAAAAACAAAAAACAAAAACAACCCAGTGGAGTTCTTGCTTGGGCTTGTACGGGAAGTGATCACACCTTTTTAGTAACACGACAGAGAAGCCGTTTGGTTTAGGAATGCTTGGCTTTCGCTGCTTTTAAAGAAAAGGTGAAAGAAAGTTTTTAAAGCAGTTACTCTACTCTCATTTCTTCTGGTTGGGTTCCTGGTCAGCCCGTCGGTCTCATGGTTAAGTTTTGACGAACGGTGGAAGGCTGCAAAGCTTCCTTCCTTTGGAAAGTCGATGAATTTTGCACCTGACAGTTTCAAGATTCTGTTGGACAAATAAAGGAAAATTTATCAGCAACATTAATAAATTTTAGTTTCAGGAAGGAAAATTTGGTTTCAAAGAACTGAGGATAGCAGCAAAGAGCTGGCCACAAGAGCTGGGGATGTAGCTCAGTGGTAGAGCGCATGCTTCGCATGTATGAGGCCCCGGGTTCGATCCCCGGCATCTCCAGTTGCTTATTTTACGCAACCAACACAAAATATTCTGTACTGTTTAAATTGCTCGCTGTCCTTTGTGACACCAGTTTCTCTCATTCTCTATAATGTTTTTGCCACTGCGTTCAAATGCATATGTGGCCAGGGAAACATGATTGAGTCGAGGTGTTTTGAGATATCTTTCTCTGAAAAGAATGGAATTGGGGTCATAGAAAAATACCTAGGGCAGCAGTGACAAGGGAACAGCCTGGAAAACTGGAACCTAGTGATGTGTGGCGTGTGGGGTATCTGGTTGCTTCTTAGACTATAAGTAATTTTGTTTGAGAACATGGAAAGAGAAAAAGAGTGATTTTTGTCCTGTGCGTCATAGAACAAAAAATTAGGCAGATACCAAGAAACTGACGAAATCTAGCCGGGTGCAAACAAACGAGGCTTGGGAGAAACACCACACTTCCTTAAGAAGGGATAGGGGGAGAGGAATACAACAAAAGCAGTTAATTATTATGCAAGTCTGGAAAGACCAACTTAGCGTGAGGCCGGTTAGCTCAGTTGGTTAGAGCGTGGTGCTAATAACGCCAAGGTCGCGGGTTCGATCCCCGTACGGGCCACGTCACTTTTTTTCTGCGATTTTGTGTTTGCCACTTAAATTTGGTACATTTTTCTGAGATGGAGAAACGTATTGTCCGAGGAGTTGGCACTAAAGTGCCACGCCAGGATCGTGAGGACCCCTGCGTTCTGTTCCTAAACCCGCGTGAAGCTCGTGGCTCGACTTCCGTATTTTCTACAGAAGAAACGCGGAGCGGTGAACACGTAGCAAGATCGTGACAGGAGAAAGTCAGCTGTGCCCGCAGTACTGCCAACTCCTGCTCCGACAGAAACGCAGTTTTTTCAGGCTTCATCTTGAGAGTTGCAGTACATTTGAGGAAGAAATCAGATTTTGGGGGTGAGTTTTGGTTTTTTTTAGATTTTTACTTTTTTAAGAGTTCTTTTTAGATTTCTGTTTTTTAAACCAGCAACACTGTTGTTTCTCTTAGAAGGATGGGCCAAGGGCCCTTGAGAGGAGATTTCTTTAGTTCTACGACAATTTGCGAGAACGTTTGGGGCAGTTCTGAGAGCCGTACAGGGCTGATTTTATTTTGAAAGAGAAACGGTTAAAGGCAATATCAACTGTAATCAGACCCTGTTATAAGACACAAAGGAAAGCTTATTAAATATTTAACATTTCTACGGAGCTTTATAAGCTGTGTGGCTCGTTGGTCTAGGGGTATGATTCTCGCTTAGGGTGCGAGAGGTCCCGGGTTCAAATCCCGGACGAGCCCAAGTTTTGAATCTCCAGTATCCTAACTTGTGCTTCCTGCCAGAGGATTTACAAAGTCGGAGTTGTCACGGAGTGTGACTGGGATATCTAAGCGTGAAAGCAAGCATTCGGCCCTGTCTGGGTGGTAGGCCACGACTTGATATCGCTTCTAATTGAAATAGAAGTGGTTTTGGTCCAGACTTTTCTATTATCTGCTTTAAAGTGCGTCTTAATAAGGCGAGTGCCTTCGAGTCACGTAAGTCCCCACTCCGTGATCATAGGCCGTCATTCATTATTCGTTCACTACCTCAGAGAAGGGGTTCAAATGGGACCGCGAGCTGGGGTGCCAGAGCCCTCCCTTGGGCTGCTTGGCGCTTGCTGCGCGGCTGCCTTTCCGTCAGAGCCCCGGGCTCTGCAGCCTCCGGAAAGACGAAGCCTCCCTGCTCCTCCTGGGGCCAGTGCTGTGCTCAGTGTACTTCTGAGGCTAGCGTTAATAAAACAGGAAAAATCGCGGAATCGGGAGGCATTTTTAAAAAATGAGATGTAATTTCTACGTCTTCTTAATGGCAGGGAATGAATGAGAAACAGAAAGAGAAGTGCAGGTCTTTTCTCTAGGGCTGTGTGAAGGGAAGACAGGTTAGACATGGTATTGCTGGGGAGAAGTTGACCGTGCCGTCCGGATGGGGTCAGGAGAGGCTGAAATGTGAGTGTGATGGATTCCACGAGCAGGACCCTGGCTGGGTCGGAAGAAAAATTTTGCCATTCTCAAAATCCAGCCTCCAGGCTTCTGCCTCTCACTCAACCTGTTCCCTAGCTCGGACTTCGCCTTCTCTAACACGGTTGCTTCGTTCTCTGCATCAGAAACTTTCTTGAAAGGCGCGTTTGTGCTTCGGAGTCAGCTGAAGAACTTGCTCAGTACTCGAACTCCAAGCCCAGGACCTACCTACCCTGGATCCCCGGGACCGACAGCACAGGTCAGGTTTAAATCCTTGGCTTCACATCTCTGAAAGGCACCTCGCTAGGGGCCGCAGAGGCCAATTTGCAAGTTACTGAACAGGTTGGAACAACTCAGTAGGGAACTGAGTAGCTCCAGGTGCTCCCCTGATCGAGTGAAGGCTACTAAAAACAGTTTTTGCTTGCCAGCAGTAGCCAAGTTTATACTGGCTGTTTTAAGTGACAACGTAAAGCTAGTTTATTGACAAGCCCCGGAAAAGACCTGAAAAAGTAAGCTACGCCCAACGTGGGGCTCGAACCCACGACCCTGAGATTAAGAGTCTCATGCTCTACCGACTGAGCTAGCCGGGCACCTGTGAAGTAGAGCTTTCCTTAGTGTATTAGTAGACTGACTCATGTCCTTTTCTTTGAAAAATTGAGCAATGTCTGATTTTAATTCTACCTGACTATTTTAGTGTTATAGGTAAGTTGAGATGAAATCGGAAGAGTGATAATATTACACGTAATTATTAGTATGCTTTCCACCTATTTATTTATATTTCTACGTCCCCTCCCCCCAGGTGTATCCATGACCTAAATCAAAGTAGGGTTCCCAGTCGCTGGAGGTTATTCCGTTGACCTCAAAACGACATTCCAACAGCCCGAGGTCCGGTTTCCAGCTCAGCTCTGAGCATGTACCAAGCAGGCCAGGTCCTCAAGACCAGTCACTATCTAGGGCCCTCTGTGACCGTCACATCTTTCTGCTCCCCTTTTGTCAAGGTCAACTTCCTTCCCTTTTTGGCTCTAGTGTTAAGGTGACCATAGTGGAAACCACAGGACAAGGTTAGGCTCTTTGTTAGAAAGGCTTTAAGAGAAAACAAAGTGTCTTTTAAACCGGTAATCAATTGATGATTTTTTTTTTTTTTTTTTTTTTTTTTTTTTTTTGGTCTTTTGAGACAGAGTCTCATGCAGTTCAGGCTGGCCATGAGTTCACTTTGTAGCCCAGGCTGGTCTTGAACTTTCAAAGAATTCTCCTGCCTCAGCCTCCCAAGTACTGAGTGCCCCACCACGCCAGTTTCAACTGGTGAACACATTTTTATTAAGTCTTTTCTGTGCTGGGTGTTTAAAATGAAAATACCAATACAACATCACATACTCGGCCCCCAAGAAAGCTGTCATGTACTTACTGGGTTCAGGTTTATATTAACTGTGAGGCACTGGGAAATAAAGGTTCTTGGAGTGACTGAATAGATGTTGGCAATGACATTGGATAATTTAAAAATTACCTGTGTTTACCAAGTGAAACCTAAAACAGAAAAACATTCACACGAATAGTCTACGGATCCTAATGCAGGACCTTCGGACCACATGTCATAGTTATTAGTAAACTTGGTGTCCCACTGCAAAACATGAGCTCTTTTTGCTCATTAGCAACCTCCGTTTAGTACTACTTTGCTGAATACTGTAAGAACTATAAAGAGACATCCAAAATAATATGGTATTGCCAATTTTAGTAGCCACATTCTTAATGTGAATGGGTTTATTGGACTTCTGGTTTGTTTTGTGTGCGTGTGTGTGTGTGTGTGTGTGTGTGTGTGTGTGTGTGTATGCATGCCAATCGAATGAACTGCTTTTTTTTCCTCTTTCTCAAGGTCCCTTGCCAAACTGTAACAGTGGATTGAAATATTTATTAACAACTGAATTTTCTCCTGACTCTAAGATCCATGACATCCCTGAAGCCAATCCAGGCCCTGAGCTTGTTTCAGAGTATCAGCTAACCTGACTCTTCATGTAATGCTTATCTTAAATTGCAAGGAAATCCTTGATCAGAGAAGGTAAAATGGATATGGGGTTTGGCTTAGTAGTCTGCTCAGGGGCTCTAATGAAAGCCTGGATGACTTAAACAACAGAAATCCATTTTCTCATATTTCCAGAGCTTGAGAGGTCTAAGATCAAAGTGTTTTCTGATTTGGCTTTAGGGAGGGCTTTCTCCTTTGCTGCCAGATTATTACCTTCTCACCACCTACTAATGTTTAGGGAAGGAGAGGAGGAAGAGGGACAAATCCTACTGGATCTGGGCTCCAGCCTTCTGATCTCATTTAGTCTTGATTACTTCCTTATTCCCAAAATAGCTGTGCTGAGGGCTAAGGCTCAGAATTTTTTTAAATCTTTTTTTGAGACAGTCTCACTGTGTAGTTTAGACTGGCCTTGCACTCACTTGGTAGCCAAGGTTGGTCTTGTACTTGAGGGATCCTCCTGCCTCAGCCTTCCAAGTGCTGGAATTACAGCTGTGCACCATCACAACTGGTTTAAAGCTGGAATTTTAGGGGAACACAATTCAGTCCTTAGCAGGAGGCCAAAACAAAACCAAACAAAACATCCTGTGGCATTTTGGAATTGAAGGAAAATTGGTCTAGCACATGGTAGGTGCTTGAATATTTTTTGAATGATTTAGCAGTATGTTCTTTTAGCACTATTTTCGTTCTTTTAAAACACAATTTTTTTTTTTAAACACAATCTTTTATACACACAGCAGGTTCGGTGTAGAAAGCAGCTGACACTGGAGATCCATCACACATGCAGGGTTAAAGCAAAGACAACCCTGAGAACGAGAGCCCAAATCGACGAGCTTAAACAAGCTATTCCAGCTCCAAGAAGGCAAGAGGCCCCGGCCAGCCAGGCAAACAAGCTACTAGGCAGTGAGGTTGAAATTCACATCACCCTCTTGAGTGTATAAATAAATGTGCTATGATGGGTGGAAGGTTCCTCTTCTCCCATCAGGAGAGGGGCCTCCACCTGACCTCAGCTTTCCTGTCTTTATTTTACCATCTGCTCACCATCCTTCCCCCCAGGAATTTACAGAGCTGCATTGGTGCATGGCAGTTCAGCAAATGGTATTGAACTGACTTTAAAAGAATCTTATGGCTTTCTTCAGGACAGATAATCTGAAAGGCTTTTGTAGAAACTTTGATTATTAGTGCAATTTGACTGGCATGGGACTGAGCAGGAAGGAGATAAAAGACAGGAAGTCAATAGTTTGAGGGGCTGCCTACAGAAGAGTACAGTAAAGAAACAGTTCTGAATGTAGGTGGTCAGTCTCCGAAAGAAGGGTCCGGGCAGATACAATCCCAATCTGGCGCGTTGTTGTTCTGCTTTACTCCTTAGTAAAGCAGCAACAGCCCTTTGTGTGGGCAGTATCCTTCAGGGAGCCCTGGCAGTTAGGAGGTATAAACTGGAGATGGGAATTCAGGGGCTTAATCCTGTGTCTGGGGCTGACCTGGAAACCTGCTAGAGCCTGGGCTGCAGGTAAAGTAGAGGTGTTCAACTCCAGAGTAATGAAGTGTGCCAGCAGCCCACATGGGCGTGGGCTTGTGCATTCCAGCAAGGCGGAACCACCGGAACAAAGGACCTCAACCATCTTTGGAAGTTGTTCAAGGGGTCTTCTGTGCATGTGACTAGATTTGGGAGTGAAATGTCTTGTAAAGTAGTCTAAATTGTGATGTAGCAAAGAAAAATTAACCCAGTCCACTAATAATTTCAGTTCAAAAATTAAATTAAATTAATTGAACCCTGTCTCATAGGAGTCTTATAAAGGAGGGGGGCTAGAGCTTTAGCTTCAGCGGGGGATTTAGCTCAGCGGCATAAGCGCCTGCTTTGAAAGGAGGCAATCATCAGTTCGATCACCGGTACCGGTAAAAATGAGAAACAAAAAAACAAAATAAAAAAAAAAAAAAAGGATAAAACCCTTTGCTTTCTGCTTCTGTAAAACTTCTGGAATTTGAATGTAAGTAATAATATCAATCTCTTGTTAATGAATTTTATACTTGTACGATATTTTATACTTGTATGAGATATTTTATACTTGTACGAGAATCACACATTTAACCTCTTGAAAAATGTATTTTGACAAAGTGGATAACATTAGATACATCTATAAAACAGTAAATCTCATTCAGTCAGCTGGAGTTGGGGAGAAGACGAGGTGTTCTATTTAGGGTTCATTCAGAGAGGCCCTGGGCAGATGTTTCATAAAGGCAGGCTTGAGTAGGTTACAGGCAAGTTCAGTGAGTAATAATCACTACTAATCTGCTTTTAATTCTTGTTCAGGAGGAAAAAAATCTTCTGTTTGATGGGGTAGAGTTTGGTCCCAAGACACTACTTCCTTAAGGTGGTGGTGGTGGTGTCATTTTTTTAAAAAAATGAACATCTCTCAGAAGGATGAAACAGGCTTCTGATGTCAGCTGCCCTGGGGGCCTGCTTCATAACTAGGGTAACACAATTCTGAGCTTCAGACGGTCAGAGGAAGCCAGAGAAGCTCTTGCACTCTATGAAATTAACACGTATGTGAGTGACATCATGTATGTGAGTGACATTGTTTTCTACTTTGTATTAAGCTCAGTCATTTTAAAATATATTGTTTTAGCTCCACATCGACAGGGTTCTTAGGAGGTAAGAACACGGTCTGGTTTGTCCTTAGGGGCTGATGTTGCTTAAAACACATTTTAGTATGCTGTTGAAGTTTCATTTGCCTTTTCCTTTCTTCTCTCTTCTTCCTGTTGTCTCGGTGACACTGCAGATTAAAACATTTGTGTGTTTTTTCTTCTGCACAGTCACAAGCAGCAATACTTCCGTGTTCTCCGAGTTCTGAAGCAGTGCGAAGTCGCAGACAGCACGCAGGCGACTGCCAGTGACGGCGGGTCTCGCACTACGCGTCAAACAGAGATGGCTTCGCCAGCAGAGCGCTTGTTACTCGTGAGTCCTTCGATAGCTCAGTTGGTAGAGCGGAGGACTGTAGTGGCAGCTCGCTGGTATCCTTAGGTCGCTGGTTCGAATCCGGCTCGAAGGAACTTACACTTTTAGTGAGTTCAAGGCATGTCCTAGTTGTTGGTATCCTCAAGGGTCAATTTAAAGCGATTTTTGATGTGCAAGCCGTCTCGCTAAATTATTAAAATCTTTAGTTATTTTGAATACCCACACTTCGATTCCATTGGACCTATTTTAACCCTCAGAAAACTCTCTGACCCGGCAAAGCGAATCAGAGGTAGGCCCACCCCGCCAGGGCTCCGGAGATGGATCCACACACACTCTCGACCTCAGATTCCAAGCCTGGGAGGGTCGACCGGAGAAGAGTCGCCAGGCCGGTGGGCATCGATGGGACACGCGCGCCCCCTGCAGGTCGGAGTGCTTAGCAACTGGGGCTCATTTGTCACCTACCAACTCATCATCTGTGCGGCTAGAGGAAACTCACAAGACCTGTTGCCCGCGAGTGTTACATCACTGGGGTTTCAGCCCCACTTTCGAGAAAACTAGGTGTAAATCTGAATAAACTGGGGAGGCTTTTCACTGAACCTATGCTTGCAGTTGAGACTCCGACAGTGGCAGTTTAAAAACTCCCCCAGTAATTTGAAATGGGCTGCGAAATTCAGAAAACGTAACAAGAAGACAATAATGGGGGGGGGGGGACCGCATACAGGAAAGTGAACAGAATTTCCTATGCACTTGAGGAACCAAAAATTTAGAGATCACAGCAATAGAACACCTTTGCTAAATTTGGGCCCATTCATTCAATTAATCCCTTTTTTAAAAAGGAGGGGAAGAGTAGGAAAAGCCAAGCCTGTACACACGAGCAGAGGCTTTGACGCTCTAGAGTCCTGTTAAGAAATAGGGGTGCATTTGCTACCACTGTCAGAAACTGAAGCGTCCTCAATACATTAGATACAAGGGAAACAAATTCTGCGAATAAAAAATGTGATATCTGGAATATAAAAAAGGAAACTGTAGATTTGTAAATCCACTTGGCCGGAACCAAACTTTAGATTTGTAAAACGTTAAGGATATTCGCAAACCTCACCACTATGGGTGATAGATCTGTCTAAAGAGGAGGAAAATACACCACCCTCCGTGATTCAGGGGCAATGAACGCACCCCGTGGAAGTGTCTAGCTGTTAAAGGAAAAGCAAAGCACTCGGGTCGCAAAGTGGGCACGTATTAATTGCTCACATATTTCAGCAATATATTAAAGAAAAAACAAAACTAAAAAAACCTTGGGATGTAAAACTGGAGAATGCGGGCATCGATCCCGCTACCTCTCGCATGCTAAGCGAGCGCTCTACCATTTGAGCTAATTCCCCATCTGGCAGGGGTTGTTGACAACCTTGTCCCTTTCTGAAATCTGGATGCCGTTCAGGCTGTGCAGTTTCTTGGACTGACCCTGCATAGCTAACCGGAAGCCGTGCGGTCTGCAAGTCTCGAGCTACCAGGCAGTTCCAAAAGACTGCAGCCCTCGGCGTCACCACCACCTGCTCCGCCCTCCGCTTCCTGACTCACAAAGGTCACGGGCGCAGAGTCCACAGAATGCCTGCCTAGACGTTGGACAAGACTGTGATGCCAGAATCTGATCTGCAGAAATCTGATACCGGAAAGAAATAGGATTCAGCCACTGAAGATTCAGTCAAGGTTTTCAAGCAATGGAGGCTTAGCTACACAATAATTCTCAGTCATCTTTGTAAGCCTAAAATTTCCACGGATCGACTCAGCCCCACAATCAGACTGAGTCACAACAGATCTGACTGTCCCTTGAGATTGGCTTTTTTGGCTTTCTTTGACACCGCCGGGGCTTCTGTAGGTCCAAATGCCAGCGGTGGGCAAGTTATTTTTCTTTTTTTAAAAATTTTATTTAAAAGGAAAAAGAGAAAAAACAAAACAAAGCGGTGTAAGGGTACAAGTAATACAGAACTACAAAAATAAATAAATAAATAAATAAATAAATAAATAACCAGTTAATAGATTACACATTATCATCTTAGGGATAGTTGCTCAAGTCACAGTATCAAAGCATACAAAGTGGGCATTCAAACAGTGAGACTGTAAACAGATGTGTTCAATGATCCCACCAAAAACATTAATATGGTCATCTATTTAACACCCCTAAACACACTTGCAGTTGTATCCTTCCTTTAAAGCACCTTTTTCCCCTCTCTTTTTTACAACACAATTTACACATTTTGGGTTTTATTACTCCTTAGTTCTTATTACTTTTTTTTTTTTTGGAAGAGAATAAAGTCAAATATGGCAAAACAAAGCTGTCAGTAAGTTATTTTTCTAAAGTAAATATCCACAAAGAAAAGCGGGCTGCAAATTCAGAGTCCAAGTTCTCCCAAGAAGATTAAAGAAGTCATTACCTCTTTTTCTTTTCAGCCCCACCAAGTACCAAGTTCTTATAGCACCACCACTAAGTGCTAGGTACCGGTTGGCAAAGCTAATTGTAAAGGGGTGACCCCTGGACTTGCCGGGAGACCCCTGAAGGCCCTCACCCATCATCTGCACCTTCCAACGGCTTTTTTTCTTGAGATCCAATCAGAAGGGGCTTCCTCTATCTGGTTGGTGATTTTCTAGTCTCAAGGAAATCGAGGTAAGCTTATTAGATCTGAAATTGAGGTCTGCTTAAGAAGCCGAGCAGGAAATCCCAAGACTTTTAGGCTGACCTTAATACTGGCACTTCTCTTCCTGGTTTATTCCAGTCAGGGCAGACAAAGAGCAGAGTTCTACGAGACGAAATGGTTCTCCTAGATGAGAGAGTTCTAATTTCATAGAAGCCTGCTATTCGTCCAAAAACTTGGTTCAAGGTCAGTTTTGTGCTGCTTTTCACCACTATCTGGGTTCTTTCTCTTCACTTGTCCCTAGATAGAATTTAACCTGGTTAGCCTTTTTTACCCATTTTTAAAAAAAATTATTTCCCAGGGTTCTATTAGTCGAGGTGCCCAAATCCAGCTCAGAAGACTGAATTGGGCTTTGGTTGACCACAAACCTGAAGAGATTTGTTTGGCGCTTTTAGCGGTGAGGTGGGAGTTCTCCTTTCCAGTAATATTGGATTAGCATTCCCCAGAAGTGGATAAAAGTCATGAATATCTTAAAATGCGCACTGAAGTTTTACCAACTGTTAACCTACCTGGCGTTCCACTCGGTTTTCAGAAAGGACAGTTGCATTGGTACCAGTATTTTATTCAGTGTATTTACGGAACATAGCTCTGTTCACAACCCTACCCACGTTTAGGGCAAAGATGTCTCTTATGGGGCAAACAGACACTTTCAGGAGAGAAAGGAGATCAGGAATGTCCTGATCCTTAGACAGGACATTGGGGGAAACTGCTGCGCACTCGCCCTAGCTATATTAATAGAGGAGGACAAGGGAGTTTACTCGGATTTTATTTTGAGATATACATGGATTTCTTGAGATTTTAAATGTGTAACTCAATAAAACTTTTGTATTTGTAACCCTACGAAATCAACTACCAAGATCGTTATTTGTATCCTTTCAGTGTCTAAGAATTGCTTTTCAAATGTACATACTTTAAATACAAAGCAAACGCCTTGAGACATTTCTTATTTTAGGAATACTAAAAAACTCACCAATCACTTCCTTCGATAGCTCAGTTGGTAGAGCGGAGGACTGTAGTGGGTGCATGTCTGACATCCTTAGGTCGCTGGTTCGAATCCGGCTCGAAGGACAGTAGGTTTTTGTCAAGTACGGTTTTTTTTTTCATACACAAGAATTATCCGGTCCCTGTGAAACTAGGGTTCTGAACATGACAACACTAGTCAGGCTGCTATTTGTACAACTGTGGGCACGAAGTGTACATGTTTTGTTTACATACGTAAAACTTGTCCGGAAACCAAAAACGTGGTTGCCTCAGGGAAGAGTAGTGGAGTGGCTGGAAAACAACTTTTCTCCCCCACCTCCCACTTTCTTGTGAAATTGACACCTCAAGGCATCCTCCTGCTCTCCCTCCACCGGTCCCTGCCGGCTACCGCGTGTCCGCCCCATTCTTGCTTCCCCTCTGCTGCCGACCATCCCTTCTCCGGTCCAACCTGAATTAAACCCCCGACCCACAGGGGGCGCGCGTGCAGCCGGGGTGCGGAGCGCGCCTCGCTCCCGAGGGTGGCCCTGTGCTCTACTTACTAAAGATGAGGATGAACCACAGCTTTTGGAGGGCTCTGCTACCTTGGTGCCTTAAAATAATTTTAGGAGAGCATATTTCAAATATGCCTCCTAGTTAAACCTCGTGGTACGTATCCCGCGGACAAAACCACCAGCCATCCTCAGTCCCCTGTGCATCGTGTACCCCGATGTGCACTTTTACACTAACCAGGATCTCGCCTCATTCTGCCTATTGTTGTTGGGCTTAGAAGAGGTCAGTGTGAACTAAGAAACGAAAGGTGATAGTGTTCCCAGAAAACAGTAAGACGTTGTCTCCTTCGAGGTTGACGAGGAGAGCAGCGGCTCCCTGGCACCTGTCGTGGGTAGCGTGTCCCCTCCAGGTGACCATTAGTGCCCACGCTTGCCACTCACTTCAGTGCTTCTGGGCAGATTCGTGCTTTAACGGGGTAGAGTTGGGGTGGGCAACTGTGTGGCCCCCCGATGGACACGATAGCAGTGTGGGCCTGAGTGAGGACCGGAAGGTGGCGAGGACCCGGGGTGCGGGGCTCATCCTGAAGGCGGAGGGCCGCAGGGTTAGGTCGGTTCCGGCGGCTGGAAGGCGAAGGGAGCGCCGGGAGGCCGCGGGCTGGCTGGGGAGGGCCGAGGGCCCCGCTGGGGCCGGCAGGAGCCCGTGGCCACCCGGCCGCGCCCCCGCCAGCCCCACCCCGGGCTGCCCGCACAGTCGCAGCTGGGCTTGGAGCAGCCGCGGTGCGCATCGCTTGTTCTTCAAGGGGAGGGCGTTTGGTGGATGGAGTGACAGATACATAGATAAAGGTGATAAAACTGTAAAACACTGTCGCGAGGACAACAAAAGTTCGCCTGGCTTTGGGCGAAGCCAGGAGAGGCAGTGGTGGGAACTCGCGGCCACACGCGAGCACCCCGCGCGCCCCGAGTTCACAGCGCCTCACGCGCCGCTCTGCTCTGCTGTGAAACACACAGCGACGGATTTCACTTTTCCCCTTATTTAAATGAAAAATACAATCGAGAGTATTTGAATAGAGACATTGGCAGGTGTGTCTCATGCTTCCCAAGAATTTTCCCTTTGAAGTCTCTGAAGATAGAGGTTTCCAAATTAGTTATCCTTTGTTCCCAATCTGGGTAAGAAGGGTGGTAAGGCCCGGCAACTGGAGGTGCAAGCGGTGTTCAATGCCTTTTCTTCCTCCTCCCTATAACATTTACTTTGGATGTGTGCTTCCATTAGGGTGCTGCCTTGAATTTAAGAAGGTGGTCTATTCATTCGATAAATGGTCATTAGTGCCCGTAAGAAGATGCACTGTTCTAGGCACCTTGCCATGTCCACAAACCAAGCAGAGATCTTTTATCATCCACTCAGTTCCTCTTTCAGAGTGGAAGAGAAGTTGTATAGAACATTAGAAGGCAAGAAGTGACAGAAAAAGTAAGCAACGCAGGCCAGAAGCATCTGGCTGAGGAAAGTCTGATAGGGAAAATGTTGGGACTTTTTTTTTCAGACCCCATTGCTGACCCTTCTGAAAATTGGCAACGCCTTTGAGAGAATGTGCACTGATGAGTTTGTGGGTTAGTGGGGTGAAGACAGCTCAGCTGCTTCCAAGGTGGCATCCAAGATTCAGCAGTGTGTGGAACGAACCGGAATGTTGCTTCACACGGCAACACCAGGTCAGGACATATTGGAAACTTCCCAGACATTTTCAGTTTCTCATGAAAAGGAGCTGAGCGACTGAATTAAGTACTAGCATTGCTGCAGAGATTTCTTATGGGACTCATTGGACAGGATCTTTTGAAGACAATTTTAATTTTTCTGAGACCATGGTTACAGAGCATGTTAATTTTAATGAAGGATGTCCTCTTTAGATAATTCACCAGAAATCTTTCCCATTAACTTAATAATTCATACCTGAAGATTTTTATAACCTCCAGAAAAGTCCCACCTGATGACTTTCCGGTTTCCTCGTTAGGATTCATTTGTCCTAAGTGCCCAGAACCTGAATGCCACCACAGATTCTTGGTAACAAAATGTAACTGCACTTACATAAACAAAACGCTTGCATTTCCTTTTAAGATTTGAGGTGCAGATATGTTTCATTTATTTGTCTCACTGTAGTGTGCAATGTACTATAAGATACTCACTACCTACGTGTGCATACATAAAACACCTCCATTTTGTGTCTAGTACATTTGTGCCCAGCCCTACTTTTTGTACTTTAGAAAGAAGAACTGCAATGTTTCCCAAATTAACTGGGTGGTAACTTCGCTTAAAAATGGCAAGTCCAACAGTCTACAATCCATGTGTTTAGGATGGCATAATCATTCACCGTCCATAGAGAGAAGGTGTGAAGTAGACTGAAAACCAGAACAACAGGCACAAAAAAGGCGATGGACCCATTGGCGTTATACCTAAGAAAGCACGTGCTAGATTTAAAAGCCTAAGTGAAACACAGAGTAAAAAAAAACACGTCTTAAACATTTAAGAGAATAAATCTTTCACTGCTTAGATCAGTTGTAGATATCAATACCTGAATAAATTTCTTCGTGTTTACCTGTCTTCCTAACAGAAACACAATTTTTAAAAAACATTAAGTATATTTAAAGTAGCTGGAAGACCCTGCCTTTCAATGGCCTTCGATAGCTCAGTTGGTAGAGCGGAGGACTGTAGGTACTGGTTGTGGTCATCCTTAGGTCGCTGGTTCGAATCCGGCTCGAAGGAGTTAGTCTTTTGGAATCCGGCTCGAAGGAGTTAGTCTTTTGGCCGGATCTTGGAACCTAAGCGCTCATCCAAAGCGGAAACAACCCTTATTACGTTAAGGGCTAATTGTTCCTAAACAGTAGCCAAAAGAACTAAGCAACAAACTTCAGTGGCCTTCGGTTTCCATGTACCTACCAGGAAACAAAGGTCTCTTCATCGACTATCTTCTAATTCATATTGATAGCCGGTGAGGGAAGGTCCACTTTCTACTGAGCTGAGGGGTTTGGGTAATGTACGGAAATACATAAGCATCTTATGCAACACTTTAAATTTTTTTTTTTTTTAAGGCTCCTAATATCCTCAAACCCAAAGTAGAGAAACCGCATCAGGTGCCCTCGTGCAGGGACACCTGACCGGCACGCCCACACCATCTGCCCTCTAGCTCTAGCCATCCGGAGCTACAGGCTCGGGCTCTCTTTCATTCGCTTTTCCCTTGCTTTAAAGACGTCGATGTCCACTGAAGCGGAGCAAGGTCTGAGCAGACAACTAGCAGAGATCTCTTTAATAACATTAATGAAGGAGGAGTGCGAGAACTCAGGTTCTGGTTATTTATTAGAGCCTAGACGTTCCTTTTCTAAGGAGCCCAACGCCTGGTGTACCTGAGCACACTTAGGTCTGTGCCACCACCTTACTTCACTTGTAATCCTGGGTACCCTCGCCGCATTCAGAGCGGGCTCGGGGAGCTTGGTAAGGTCACAACGAGGGCGCGGTTATGTGGCCGATTTCGGGTTTTTTCCGGACTCCAGAATGCTGCCGGGATCTTCTGTGAGCGACAATCGGCGGGGCAGAGCCACGTGGAAGGTGGCTGGGGCCGTTTGAGTGGCCGGCAGCTGCCAAGCTGCGCGCGCAAGGAGTGCAAGGTAAAGCTGAGGCACAGGACCTGTGGAGGTCCGAGGGCAGCACAGGTAGCGAGGGCGAGGCTGAGGGACAGGACACAGGCGACATGGCGACCCGCACGGATTACAGACCCCGGACGAACTCTTTACACAACTGTCACGCACTTACATTTTAAAGACATTCACGAAGTCCAGTTTAGAAGAGCACACTGTTAAAAGTTAACAACTTTATATTTCAAAAATAAAATCCAATTAAACATTAAAAAACTTGCACAAACATTTTCAAATATTCCCAACTCCTGCGTTTAAAAAATCCTAAGTTAAACTTTCAAAACTACTTGAAACTGTCAGACTCAAACTTAAAATATTATTTACAAGGTGCCAAAAAATGATTCAACAAAGCTCCAGGACAGTAAGCTGCCCCCGCCTGCTCTGACCTCCCCAGCGAAGAAGAGAGCGACTTTAAACACCAACACATTTCCCTCCATTCCCGCCTCCCATGGTCCTTCGCGGAGCTCTTCCGTTGTCGTCACACAAGGTTGCGCCTCCTCGTCGCAGGCGTCGCACCTGGTGTGCGTCACCGTCACTGCCTGCTTAACGGCCTGTCGTGCTCCACTTATCGGCCAGCATGTCGGCCGGGGGATCTGAAGCCGCTACGGAGCTGGAAGCGACAGACGAGAAGTCAGAGGCTGAGGAGGAGCAAGAGGAACCTAGAGAAGCGGCTCACGGCAGCAAGAAGCGGGTGGTGCCAGGTATCGTGTACCTGGGTCACATTCCCCCGCGCTTCCGACCCTTACACGTACGCAACCTCCTTAGCGCCTATGGGGAGGTCGGGCGCGTGTTTTTTCAGGCTGAAGGTAAGTGTGCAGGCCCGGGCGCGAAGGAAGGAGAATAACACTCCTTCTGTGGTTTGGGTTACCTAGGTCCGCGGCGCGAGCTGCAGGCTTTTGGAGCTGGCTGGTTCCCTGCTGCTGGCCAGGGACTCGGTAGTGCGCATGTCTCCCTGGAGGCTGCAGCGGGTCGCGGGGGAAAGGGGCGCGTAGTGGCAGTCTGGTGTTGTTTTACTTCTCGAATAGCTTCTGGGTTCTAATCCTGGTTCCGCCTAGTTCTCCTGACCTCCTCCTCTTCGACGTATTGAATGAATACAACCTGAATACAAATCTCAGGGACATTTCTTTTTTTTTTTTTAACTAGAAAAATCGGCAATTAAAAAAACACAGTCTTGGTACAGAGTTTTTATATCAGGGCAGTGACTCCAGTGAAGTAAAATAAAATTAAAAGCTTTTATTTCTCGAAATATAAAAGTATTAAGTTGATGGCTTAAAAATATAACATGTTGAAAGTTTTAAATTATACCCCTATTCACCACAGGATTTACTTAATCACATATCCCATCAGTTTGGCGGCCGGTGAAATTTTTAAGTTTATAAACCTAAAATAGCAAAAACTGTATACATTTCCGTATTGCACTTTTCTTTATACACAAGAGTAAAACAGTAAAGTCAGGTACATTGCATATGTTAAAAGTAGCACAGATTTGTTACAATTCAACTTAATGTGGAAGCAGATACGTTAAAAATGTAGAAATGTATATATAGAATGCTGAGATTGTATTAGCAAACTGTAGGTCCATAGTTATATGCTGTACTGTTTTTTGGCATAGTGTGTTTGTTACTATAGGCTTTTGGTTCTAAACTACTTGTTTTAAGCTCTCATAGTTTCTTAAGCTTTCATGTTTTTAAATCTAAGGCACGAGTATAAAAGCACTAAATCTCCTTGCCTACTGATAAAAAATTTACAATAGTCTTTTACCTGAGGTCGTCAGAAACTAGTGCCACAAGGAAAAATAATATTTTCAAGATTTTATAGTTTAGCTCACAGACAGAATCTTCTGGCTTGAGTTTTAGTGCTGGTGTTGCTGCTACATACATTTCAGAATATTTTTCTTCTTTAAGTCATTTATTTTAATACTACTCTGGGTAACGAAGAATAAAATTTAACAGCAGTTTAAGAGTGTCCTCCACTGTCAAGGGGGTATTTCTCCAAAACTGAACACATTCCTTTTGCGTACAGATCAAGAAATTTATCATTAGCACCCCACCTCCTTAAGGTGCTAATTGAAACTGGGATTTGGCGTTGGTGTGGATTTTAAATAGTGTTCAGGTAAGCCAGTTAAGAAATCGATAGACAAAGGAAACCTCAGTTTGTCTGTCTGGGTCAAGGACTGGGAAGTGTGATTCCAGGCAGCAAGTTCGAGCTAGGAGGTGAGTGAAGTGCTGTTTTGGCCCCCATGACTGTGACTTTGTCTTTGGTGTGCAGACAGGTTTGTGAGACGCAAGAAGAAGGCAGCAGTGGCCTCAGGAGGAAAGAAGGGATCCAAGTACAGCAAGGACTATACCGAGGGCTGGGTGGAGTTCCGGGATAAGCGCATAGCCAAGCGCGTGGCTGCAAGTTTGCACAACACACCCATGGGTTCCCGCAGGCGCAGCCCCTTCCGCTATGACCTGTGGAACCTCAAGGTGAGACAGGCCTGTTTGCCACACTTCCAATCTCTCCTCCCCATCCCAGTTAGTTTTTCTTGGCCTCATGCCTGCCTACATCCACTTCTTATCCCTCTTTGATCTGCCCAATCCTGAACTTTCCTTGTTTTCCTGCCCACAGTACTTGCACCGTTTTACTTGGTCTCACCTCAGTGAACACCTTGCCTTTGAGCGCCAGGTACGCAGGCAGCGCCTGAGAGCCGAGGTTGCCCAAGCCAAGCGTGAGACTGACTTCTATCTTCGGAGCGTGGAGCGCGGACAACACTTCCTTGCTGCTGATGGGGACCCTGCTCGCCCAGACAGCTCCTGGACTTTTGCCCAGCGTCCCACTGAGCAGGAGCTGAGAGCCCGGAAAGCAGCACGGCCAGGAGGGCGTGAACGGGCTCGCCTGGCTACTGTTCAGGAACAGGCCCGCTCCAACAGAGGGCTCCTTGCTAGGATCTTTGGAGCGCCACCACCATCAGAGAATACAGAGGGACCTTCTCCAGTGAAGGACTCCTGAGGGGCAGGAAGGCTCCTTTATCTCCTGGCCCTGCTTCCTGCCTACCTTATATGAGATGGACTGCCCAGTCAGACATTTTCTGTGTGAGGGACCAGAAGTCTTTGATGAGGACCCCAGTGTGGAAGTTTTGTGGGCCTCATTGTCCCTCTTGTTCAACTTCTGTAAGTGCCTGGCTGAGGCACCTTATTCATACTAGTGTGACTGTGACTGTTGCAGATGCCGGTTTTATTTGTTTGACTTTTGATTGCCTGTCTGTTGCCCAGTGGAGTCCTCTAAAAAGCCCATGCTTGGCCCAGCTGTGGGCTTTATTTCCAGCTAGAGTGATAATGGCCTAGCATTCTTGTGTTATTTATTGACACAAGTAAGGCAGCAGCAACATCATTTTTATTTAGAAAATCTTAACAGGAATAAGAGATAATGGGTTGGATTGGGTTGAGACTTTCTCTAAATATATTTATGAAAAATAAAATAATATTTTTTGTATGCTTATTTTAGTTTCAGATGTGGAGTCATTAGATTAATTTTAACTTCAGAATGCAGTACTGGTTATTGAACCCAAGGATACTCTACCACTGAGCTATATCCCCTGGCTTTTTTATTTATTTTGAGAGGACGCTGCCAAATTGCTTAGACTGGGTTCACACTTGTGATTTTCCTGCCATAGCCTCTCTAGTAGCTAGGATTATAGTCATGCATCACTATTCCTGGCTGATTCAACATGTATAAAGCCACTGTGTGAAGAAATGGGGACCATGTATAATGTGCTTAGTCTTAAATTAGAGTTCCTTTTTTTTTTTTTTTTTTTTGTGATACCAGGGTGCAAACTCATGACCTTAGACTTACCAGGCAGGCACTTACACTGCTGAGCTAAGTCCCAGGCCCAATGTGATTAGTCTTTTTTTTTTGTCTTTTTGTGACAGGGTCTCTGCAGTTCAGGCTGGCCTTGAACTCCTTTTGTAGCCCAGGCTGGTCTTGAACTTGCAACAATCCTGCCTCAGCCTCCTGAGTGCTGGGATTACAGGCGTGAGCCACCATGCCCAGCTAATGTGATTAGTCTTTAGGCCCCTGGAATAAGGTAATGGGCATCATGGGAGAATTATGTGAATGATAGGATGGGCCTTGGCAGTGTGTGGAGAGCTGCAAGTGTGGTCCTAGTTGGTGAGGCCAGTTCTAGGGTGGGTCAGTCTTCAACTTTTTCCAGGTCATTCCTTAAAAGTGAATTAGGAAAATGACAGAACACAAAATGAAAGATCCTGTGTTCCTACAGTTGCATACAGTACTTCATGAATTGAGTGTTGGGTGTTCAAAAAAGATGGGCAAAATCTAGGAGGGAAGTTGGAAATAAATGCTGTTCAGGTAAACGTAAATCTAGGAGGGAAGTTGGAAATAAATGCTGTTCAGGTAAACGTAAGTATCTGTTGACACTAAGGTCTCAAGTTCACACTAGGTGCACAAAACAGCCCTGCTTGCATCAAAGAGTCAGGGTAAGCCACTGAAAAAGCTGAGAACTGGCAAGTGATGATAAACTAAGAAATCTACACACACATTCTCATAGATTAAAAGTGATCATTGCCAGGTGTGGTGGCACATGCCTATAATTCTAGCATTTGGGAGGCTAAGGCAGGAGGACTTACGGACTACATAGTTAAAAGACAACCTGGACTACTTGGGCCCTTTTTCAAACAAAACAAATCATTATCCAAACTGTTAATTTAAGAGAAATGGTGGAATGTGATCATAATTTTTTGGGTTTTGCTTATTTCTTTAGTTTCTTTTCTCAATGTAACTTATTCATGGTGGTGTTTATTTTGTTTTAATAGAAGTGAATTCATACACTTCAGTTTTAAAATATCCCAGCCACATCTTGATAGGTACACTTTATTTGGAAGAATAAAAATGGGCACGTATTAAATTTGGTGTAATGTTTCCATACTTCCCTACCTAATACACAAAAATATCTCCTGTGTAATATTACTGTTTAGTTTTTTTGAGACAGGGTCTTGCTATGTAGTTCAAGCTGGTCTTGAATATACCATGTTGCCCAGGCTATTCTCAAACCCATGGCAGTCTTCTTGCCTCAGCCTCCAGAGTGCTGGGATTACTGATCACTTCAACTCACGACTTAAAGTGTGCCAGGAAAATCAAGCTTCAGAATTTGACTAACTGGCATATTTATTTAGAATTAAAAGTAGTTACTGTCACCTTTGCTAAATAGCCCAAGACAAGGAACTTCTTCCCTTCAGGTTGCTGACAGCTTAGAAAATGAAAGATAACCGTAGTGGCACACACCTATAATCCCTGAATTCAGGAGGCCAAGGAAGGGCGATCATGCGTTCAAGGCCAACTGAACCACATAATGAAACCCTGCCTCAAGAAAAAGAAGGGAAAAAATGCAAAAGACAACAGAGCTTGGTACGAATTTCCTGGATGAGTGAAGGAAAGTATCCCAGGCTGGTGGCCTTAGTGTATACTCAAAGGTTAACATCTCAAGCTCTACTTCAAATAAGTACAGGGTAGCTATTCTATTTGCAAAGTGAGTTTTAAGTCCAGACTGAGTAAGAAAGACAAAGAAGGTCCTTATAAAGGGAACAATCCAAGGGACTGTTATAACAATCATATATGTACCAAGTACCAGTGTACTCAACTCTACAAAACATTAATGGGCATAAAAAGTCAAACAATAATACAGTTGTAATAGGGGACCCTACTACCCTAGAAATTAACAAAGAAATCAGAACTGAATCAAACCTGTGAACAGTGAATTTAATACATGACCACAGTGTTCCACCCACAACATCAGAAAACATTCTTCTAAGCTGCACTTGCCTCTCCAAGACAGACAACATACTAGCTCATGCTTAAGTAAATACAAAGGAATTGAAATTAATCCATGCATTTTATCAAACCGTAATGCAATGAAATTGGAAACCAGTAGCAGAAATAGCAAAATCTATGGAAATTAACACTCTCCTGAACAACTAATGGGTCATGGGTGAAATTTAAAAGAAATTAGACAGTTTCTACAATTAAATGGTAATGTCGATAAAACATAATGGCACTTATGGGACACAGTGACCGCAATCTTACAAGGGAAATTTATTGTGTTAAATTTCTACTTCAGAAAAACAGCTCATTGAAAAACCTAATGTTGAGCCTCAAGCTTCTAGAAAAAGAACAAATCACACCCAAAGTTTGTACAAAATATTTAGGTCACAGCTGATATTAGTGCAATGGAGACTAAGAAAACAATACAAAGCATCAATGAATCAAAGAGTTGGTTCTTTGAAGGATTAAATAAAATTGACAAAGCTTTGGCCAACTATCAAAAAAAAAGGGAAAGAAAATATTCAAATGTATGCAATTCATAATGAAGGGTGAATCACAATTGATCCTGCAGAAATGCAGGCGAGCCTACTTCAAGAACTTATGTTCCAAGAAGATGGAAAAGACAGAAGAAATGGACAGATTCCTAAGATAATGTATGCATTTCCAAAGTTGAATCATGATATAAAAATCCTAAATAACCCAATATCAGTCAGTGAAATTGAATATATAATTAAAAACTTACCAACAAAGAAAACTTGCAATCCTGATGAGTTCACTATTGAATTCTACAAGAAATTTAAAGAAGATCTAATGCCACAAGTGCTGAAATTTTTTTAATGAAGTTGAAAGAGAAGCAATATTCCCAAATTCATTCCTGGAAGCAACAATTTCCCTGATACCAAAAGTAGAAAAGCATCCAACTACAAAGAGAATTGTAGGCCAGGCTCCCTTATGAACATAGATGCAAAAAATTGCATCAATAAAATACTGGTAAAGGATGCAGCAAATTATCAAGAAGATTATGGCAAGTGAGATTCATCCCAGGGATGTCAACTTGCAAATCATTAAACATCATAAACCATATTAACAGAGTTAAGGACAAAAACTATAATCATTGCAATAGATGCAGAAAAAGCATTTGACAAAGTCTAACATCCACTCATGAGTTTTACTTGTGGTGGATTGACAACTGATGGGCAACTTGTAACAGCCAGCTGAGCTGAATGATGATGGTGCTGGGTGTGGAGGGCCCACCTGAGGACTGTTATAACAACATATAAAGAGAACTAGAGGGGAAGAGGGTCTGCTATTGATTCTGGGGAAGCTTGTCATGCTGGCTTTCCTGATATGAACTTGGTTGTTTTCATCATTGGAGGAGCTTGAGACATCACTGTTGCTTTTTTATTTTTATTTTTATTTTTGGTACTGGGAATCCAACTTAAGATCTTGCGCTTGCCAGGCAGGTGTGCTGTGCCACTGAGTTACATCCCCAGCCCCTTGCTGTGGCTAAGGATGGCTGCAGTTCTTTTTAGGGAAGCTCTGACCCACACCTTGTGCATGGCTTCTTGGCTAGAGTGCTGATCTCTCAGCCTGCTGGCGCAGATCCTTCATGCTGTAGGTACAGACTTTGTAGCTTCCACTAATGACCTTTGGGCCTTCCCAGTGCGGATCCATGAAACATTTGCGCAAGACATTGTCATTGTCTCTAGGACTCCAGCTGGACTTGTGAGGGGCATTGCCACGGGCTCTAGGTCTTTAGCTGGACTGGTGCAGGACACTGAGGCCCCTCAGCTGGATTCTTTGGCCTCTAGGATGTGGACAGATCTTCCACACTCTTTTGCATTTCACTCTTTGGGTGAAATAAAAATAATCACAAAAATAATCCTTTATGAGCTGGACATGATGGCTCATGCCTGTAATCCCAACACTCGGGAGGCTGAGGTGGGAGGATCATTGAGAGACCAGCCTGGGCTACAAAGTGAGCTCAAGGCCAGCCTGAACTACATAGTGAGACCCCGTCTCAAAAAAGACAATATATGTGTGTGTGTGTGTGTGTGTGTGTGTGTGTGTGTGTGTATATATATATATATATATATATAAAATCCTTTAAATCATGTGTCCTGTGTGAAATTCATTCTCTTGTAAAGCCTGATTATAACAAAGCCCTACAGAAAATTAGAATAGATGGTCTTTATGTCAGTCTGATAAAAGCCATCTGTGACAAATCAACAGTGAATATCACACTAAATAGAAGAGAAAGCTTTTACTTTAAAGTCAAGAACAAAACAAGGGTGTCCTCTATCATCACTCTAGTTCTGGAAACATTAACAAGAGCAATAAGAACAAAGAAAGAAATAAAAGGAATAAGGTTAGGAAAGGCAGAAAGAAGTTAAATGATCATTATTTGTGAATGATGTGATAATCTATATTGAAGATCCCCAAAATTACCCAAAGACTTCTAGATTTAATAACCAAATTCAGTAGCATAGCTGGATACAAAGTTAATACTCAAAAAACAATTCCTGTACACAAATAACAGACTCACTGGGATAGAACTAGGGAAACATCTTTCATAATAACTTCCAAAAAGTGAAATACCAAGGAATCAACATAATAAAGGAAGTAGAAGACCTTTACATTAAAATTTATAGTACTCTGAAAAA